AATGGCAAATTAAATTAGGATTCCTAAAACACTTATAATAATTAAAGAAGATATAATTCAATGTTATAATAAACTTAGGTTCCCACCAACAAACTCAGGAGTTCCGAAGATGTTTTTAAATTCGTTTCCATCCTTAATCTGATGTGCAATTCCAAAATCTATCAATTTGATTCTGGGGTTCGGCACATTTTTATCCAGCAGCATTATGTTTTCAGGCTGTAAACAAAGTGCATTCAAGACTATTGTAGTACATATTTCCATGTTAATGAGACATATTTCACCCATTTTTGAAAATTTTATTTTTAAACATTTTGATTGATCCGCCATCTAAATTAATTAATAGCCAATCTTAAAACAAAACATACTAGTGCTCACCTTCAAGTCAAAGTGTGCTATGCGTTTAGAGTGTAGGTAGAAGACTCCATCCAGGATCTGCTTGAGGAACTGCGTAGCCTCCTCCTCAGTCAGCGACTCCTTCTCAGCCAGAAAGTCAAACAGCTCCCCTCCTGACACCAGCTCCAGGATCAGGATCACGTCGGTCTTGTTCTCAAAGATGTCATGGAGGGTAATAATGTTGCTGTGCTGAATCTCTCGGAGGATGTTCACCTCTCGTTCGATCTCCTCTCGGCTCACGCCCCGTCGACTGGATGAGAGCCGTCTCTTCTTGATAAATTTGGCGGCATATTCTGTTCCGGAGCTCTTTTCTTTACATTTACGTACAATGGCAAACTGTCCACTATGAAACGTGTTACAAAGACACAAAGAGAAAAAAGAAATGAAAAGTGGAAACAGTGATCATGATGGTGTTTTTATAATACACATTTTACAGAAAATAAGGACATATTTTGCATATAGATTATATGTTTATGAAATGTGTGTTAAAAAAGCACTACACTGAACTAAAGTCCATAGAGTTGTAATCAAATTATTCAACTCCCATTGCAAATCAGGTTTATTGACAATTTACAGAGCTTTTAGCTGTTCGGGATGAACAAATCAAACCAACGTAATTAAAATAACTCAACACAATTGCACACAGCTACCTAATTGCACTGTTTTTCAATGTATAGGTAGCAATTACAATTGCTACCTATACATTGAAAAACAAAGCATCTTTAGGACTTTGGAAGTGCAGACCAATGAAATAATGTTCTGTATCAGTTCTTGAAGATTGCATGGTGAATTTGTACAAAACCAGAAACTGGAAAGAGTTTTTTTTTTACGTTGGTTTGATTAATTGCACACAACTGAAAGACTGCAAATTTTGCCAATAAACCTGATTTGCAATTAGTTTTGAATAATTTATATTAAAACTGTACATTCGACTTTTACTTAAAAAAAAAAGGTTTCCTTCATCTCAGTGGAATAAGATTGTGTGACTTTTCATACATTATCTATCTATACACACACACACACACACACACACACAAAAACTGGGCTTGATTCGGTTGTTCTGAAGTTATGTAAAACAAATTTTTTACACTTCTGGTCTTTGGGGTCAATATGTCCCCACATTGAAATGAATGGGAAATGTGAAAAAAAAAAAGTGAAAAAAAAAGAAATTTCTTCATGTGTCAAAAAAAATAAAAAAAATCCGGCATAAATCTGAAATTTTTTACACAGATATGAAGGCCTAGTAGTAGAGCATAAATGAAATGCATCATAAAAAAAAATATTTCATATGCTGACGGCTCTTCTCTGGCCCATCTGTAGTCTCATTTGCACTACAGCTTTGCTCAGTGAGCGAGCATATGCATTGTAAAGCAGTGATGTCATGCTGCAGCAGCACAGAACAGAAACCTTCACGTCCTTATATAGGAAGAAAGGCAGGACTTGATTCAGTGTTTGCAGATGATTAAGTCACTGTGCTGGGGATTTTTAAATTGCAGGACTCTCATGAAAATTGTTTATACTGCACTGATAAGCACAAACACTAGGTTTCCTTTGCAACTCAATGCCAAACATTATGATTTATTCATTTCACCTTATATCTACACAAAAAGCTTTCATAATTATAGATCTTAGGCTACTTTTAACCTCAATCTTTGTTTTATCCACTATGTGTGAGACCATTTTAAGTCAGGTTAAACTAGTTTTACAGAGTTTTAAGATGGGAAATGGCATCTCTTACCTTCCTAACTCCTCTCCCATTTCATAGCACAGCTCCACATCCTCCTGTCTGAAGCCAGCCATGATTTGCTGACTTCAAATTAATCAATCTGTTGAAATGACCAGAAATAGTGCTTGAAAGGACTAGTTTAGTTGGATTTGACTTCATCAGACGAGACCACTTTATTGACAATGACTATAAATGGTTTGTAACTGTTCTGAAGAGTGCACATTCTTCTGTATTTACTCTTGACCTCACAGGATGTTGGATTTAAAACTGACATGATGGGAATGAGAAGTTCCATGTGCAGAGTGTGGACATTATATTCCTACATACGTCATTACCTACTACAGTCAGACACTAGGCTTGCCAGCTTTTTTATCTTTCTTTCTTTCTTTCTTTCTTTCTTTCTTTCTTTCTTTTTCATGGCCCTTTAACAGCGAGTATCTTAGCACTGTAGTGTAGTACAAACTCGCACTAAAATTACATCCCCATTAAATCTATCTCATCTATGCTATAAGACATGTTTCAAGGCTTAATGCCTTGATTGGTAAAGATAACTACAACAGCCATTTTTTTTTCAACTCAGAAGTCAGTTTCACAGCCACAAAAAATAATTTTAATGTGGTTAATCAATGGGGTCATAAAACGATAATCCAAAAAATATCTAATAAAGCACTGACTTATTCCACTAGCCATCTGGCTAACTTGTAACTTAAAAGAAACGACCAGCAAACACCGGCAAATTATGTTGACACACGAAACACATATGGAATAAATTAATATGACTGTCTCTATAATATTAATAATACTACCTAGAACACTATTAGAGAATAAGCAAACGCTGAGAGTTTGTTTGCTACATACCTTAACGTCGTCGCATTCCTCAGCCAATGGGTATTTTCCGGTTGCTGTGCTCTGGGGAGGCGTGGCTTGTTCAGTGACATCATCGAGACTCCACCGCAGAATGATGTCAACTTGTACCTGTTATTAAGAGTCTGCCAGGTGTTATTAGCACACTGATATAAGTGAAAAACGACATGTTTGGGCTTGTTTTGCACTGTTCCTTTGTCAGTGTAACCACAACAGACTCATAACACACATAAAAATGTGTAAATCAATAAATATATATTATGATTAGTGTTAGGCTACACAAGACATCCAAAACGTTAAAGTTTTCTGCACACATAAGTAGGAATGTATGTGATTTGCATGTCTGTAATTGTTCAAGACATAATCATCTGAAGCATACCAGACGTTTATAACATGGTGTAATAAACATAGGCTAAGCTGCAACATTAGTTTAATGAAAATTGCACAGACGACTTTTTGCTCTACTCAGATAAAATGTTCTGCAAAGTCTGGCAAGTTCTGCACATTAAATCAGTAATAAGTCTAGTAAGTCAAAATTCATTATTAACCATAATTTCTCTGGAAGTAATCTTGACTTTAAATGTATGCAGCAGGATTTGTATGGGAGACCAGCGTCAGTCTTTTTTCTTTGATCCTTTTGTAAAACGTGTTTTTCGTTCGTTCGTTCATTCATTCATTCATTCATTCATTCATTCATTCATTCATTCATTCATTCATTATAATAAATTTTAAAATATAATACAATGATAAATAAAATTTGATTAATAACATAAACATAGATCATTAAAACAAAAGAAAGCAACAAATTCAAGGAACAAAAACAAAGGCTCTACTTAAGTTCAAGGCAGGAGTCCAGACAGTGAATATATTCTACATTCACCTAGGAACACCATACTAATACTGTGTTTGACCCCCTTTCGCCTTCAGAACTGCCTTAATTCCTTAATTCTGCCTTAATACTATTGGCCTATGATTTGAGCTTTGTGATGCATTATCCTGCTGGAAGTATAGCCATTAGAGGATGGGTATGGTGGTCACAAAGGGATGGACATGGTCACCCCCATCTTACAACTGCTATATATGTCAGAGGTCGCACGCAGGCTCTGGAGCAACTAGGGGTTAAGTGTCTTGCTCAGGGACACATTGTCTCACAGTGGATTCGAACACGGGTCTCTCACACCAAAGGCATGTGTCTTATCCACTGTGCCATCACCACCACATCAACAAGGCATTTTCGCCCACAGGACTGCCACATTCTGGATATTTTTCCCTTTTCACACCATTCTTTGTAAACCCTAGAAATGGTTATGCGTGAAAATCCCAGTAACTGAGCAGATTGTGAAATACTCAGACCGGCCCGTCTGGCACCAACAACCATGCCATGCTCAAAAATTGCTTAAATCACCTTTCTTTCCCATTCTGACATCCAGTTTGGAGTTCAGGAGATTGTTTTGACCAGGACCACACCCCTAAATGCATTGAAGAAACTGCAATGTGATTGGTAATGAGAAATTGAACCGGTGTTCCTAATCCTTCAAGAAAAAGTTAACTTCAAGAATGAACAAAAAAGTGATGTTGCAGCATGAGTTTGAATTTCAATGTGTGAAAATGCAATATCTGAAACAGATGCAAACTGAAATTTTAGGCAGTGCGAATTATATTAAGCAATTTATTTACATAGCAGTGGCACATGCTTTTTCAATCTGTCAAAAAAATAAAATAATTTTGTTAATTTTGTCATTTGATATTGAAAAATGTCTATATGTATTTTGCAGCCAAGGTTTAAGTCATTACGCCTAAGCACAGCCGTTAAATACCTACGTACATTAACATTAACCGTAGGATATTATGTTTCCATTCCAAGCAATGACAAAATTGGACTTTCTGAAGTAAAGGTGGGACCAAAATTTGATTGACTAGAGTGACAGCCAATAGACTAATAGTGGACGGTCGGAAGTAGATAGGATTAGCCAATCGGCAACGTACTGCAAAATATGGGCGGGATATGTTTAAACAGCTGATAGTTGAGTCTGCGGAGGGCAGTGCGGATAGGGGAGACGACAACAACATCGTTCAGGCATAATGAGATTTTTGTCAAGTCTCCTTTGTGCAGCTCTTTTGTTCAAACAGGTAAGACGTAAGAAGAGACAAAATAACCTGTTTGCTTTTTGGTGGGTTTCTCAAAAGGATTGTACCCAGTTTGTTTGCCAATGGTTACTGGCTAACTTACCAGCTACGATTAGCTTTCAGTAGGGATGTGCTCGTGCTCGTGCATGTTTGGGACCGCGCGGCCGAGTCCTCTCGCACTCCTGTTGACATGATGAGACTGCTACCGCTATTCAAATCTACAGCACTGATCAAACGAGAGACAAAACTATCATTTTTTTTGCTGGAACATCAATCATGGCAGACCTTTGTTTTAATGTGAATTAATGTGTATTGCAAACAGTGAGACTGTGTACTGGAAATGTCAGTAATTTTCCAGAAAGACGAATATAAACATGCTAGCGCTACACTCGAAACCCCCTTTAGTTGGTTAACCGTAAGTTACCCCACACCTTACCAAAATTATATTAAATTAACGTTAGATGTAAAAAGTATGAATTGCCTGATATATATGATATTCGTATATGTTCATTCCATTAATGTTACTAGAATTATTTTAGTGTCATGTGTTAACGTCATGGTGTTATTGTGTTTGTGTGGGTTACAATGAGCTCTGTCTTCATGTAAATATTGTCGCAGGAAAGGCTAATTATGATGATCTATAACTCATCATATGACCTTCTATCATATCACCTGTGTTATTATCAGTCCATTTTACAGTAACAAAGTTCTGAATAGTGTAATATATTAAGAAAATTAATAACATCTCAGTAAAACTAAAGCAAAAGCAAGACAAGTTCTAAATGTGGCCCTGCAATGTATTTGGAAGTCAAACTTTTTGTAATTAGAATACATAATTCACTTCACTATGCATTTCACTATATGAATGGTTTTATAAGGGTTAAAAAAGCTTTATGCAAGTTCATGTCACCCTCAGACTTTTAGTTTTTCCTTCAGCAAGGAGGAAATGCACAAACCCAACCAATAACCTGAGCTGTATCCATTCTGATTCACAGGTTTTAGGTGAACATGGCATGGCACATTTCAGCGATCAGGGGAACAGTAAAGGCAAAGATTACTGCATATTCTTCAACTCTCAGTGGGCTCGACTACCTCAGGACCTCAGTAAAGCAGTTAGTAGCAATTTACATTTCGCACACACACACACACAGAGGTTCAGATTGTAATGATTTCATGATAAAAGGCCTCATTCCCAACATAACCTTCTGCTGTATCTGAAACTGCAGAATACAATTTATCATCACAATACTGGCCCTCATTCATCCGTTATTGTTTTTTCAGGCACGGCTGCAGACTTACGATCTCACCACCTCTGTCCTGTGCTCCCCCTCTGATGTACCCGAGGGTGGCTTCCCAAACAGCATCCCAATGGTGATGAGAGGAAATTGCACTTTCTATGAAAAAGTCCGATTGGCCCAGATCAATGGTGCCAAGGGACTACTGATCGTCAGCAAAGACAGACTGGTAAGACTATAACACCATTAATGTCGTTAAAACATTTTCACAGGAGTCACAATAAGTTTGTTTGGCATCCTTTATAGACTCCACCCTCAGGCAACAAGTCCCAGTATGAGGAGATAGGCATCCCAGTGGCCTTGCTAAGCTATAAAGACATGCTGGAGATCAGTAAGGTAATTTTGTCTTTGGATTGAAATAGTCCAATCAAAATCACTTTAAAACACATCACATTGAAACTGCAAAGGCAATAAAAGTTTAAAAGGCATTTATTTTCTCTCCTATTTCTGTTTGCAGACGTTTGGGGAGAAACAGCAGGTGGCCATGTATGCGCCCAATGAACCGGTGGTGGACTACAACATGGTGCTCATCTTTCTGATGGCAGTGGGCACAGTCGCTGTCGGAGGATATTGGGCTGGCAGCAGGGACATTAAAAAGTAAGAATTGTTACCTTGTAACATTGTGAACCATTGAGGCACAGGCTGCAGGATAAATAAGCGTTATTCAACTAAACCCACATCCGTGTGCCGGTAGACGTTACATGAAGCACAAAAGGGACGACGGTGCAGAGAAACAAGACGAGGAGATCGTTGACGTCACCCCCATCATGATTTGTGTGTTCGTGGTCATGTGCTGCTCTATGCTGGTGCTCTTATATTTCTTCTATGATCAATTGGGTAAATAAATCATTAAGTATGACCCTTTTTCAACAAACTGTGTACATAGGTTGAACTTGATGATATGATTTATTCCTCTGCATTTCTCTCACAGTATACATGACTATAGCAACGTTCTGTCTGGCTTCTGCTGTCGGTCTGTACAGCTGTCTTTGGCCTTTTGTCCGAAGACTACCATTTGGGAAATGCAGGTCAGAGATGTGCATGAGAAAGACAAGATAAGATTCTTTCCTTTTGGATTTGTATTGAAGGAGATGCTTTGTGTGTTGACAGGATACCTGAGAATAACTTGCCATATTGCCACAAGCGGCCACAGGTGCGCATGCTGATCCTTTCAGCCTTCTGTATAGGAGTCAGCGTCACTTGGGGAGTTTTCCGCAACGAAGACCAGTAAGAATAGTGAAAACCACTTTAGGACTTGAGACTCTTGACACTTTTGGTACTATAATGAATGGTATCTGATGAAAAATCATGTTCCCTAGGTGGGCGTGGATACTTCAGGATGCTTTGGGCATCGCTTTCTGTCTCTACATGCTGAAAACAATCAGGCTACCTACTTTCAAGGTGAGTTTAAAATGCTGACGATCACCTCAGCATGTGGAGGTGAAGCATTTCCTACTGATTTTTCTTCTCATTGTAGGCCTGCACTCTGCTGCTGGTCGTGCTGTTCGTGTATGACGTGTTTTTTGTTTTCATAACACCACTCTTAACTGAGGTACAATGCTCTTCTTAGTTTGGTTTTTAAAATTGATGCAAAATAAAAAATGTATAAATTCTTTAGCATAAATGTGTTTATTGTTCCATGCAGAGTGGGGAAAGTATCATGGTTGAGGTGGCGGCTGGTCCCTCTGATTCCTCTACTCATGAAAAGGTAGTTTTTTTGAAAATTTGGAGATATTTAAATGAAGTTTTGTTTAGTTTTGTGGGGTCAATTTTGGCATTTTTGTCTTCATTAGCTTCCCATGGTGCTGAAAGTGCCCAGGTTAAATTGGTCTCCTCTGGTCCTGTGTGACCGGCCCTTCTCTCTCCTGGGTTTCGGGGATATCTTGGTACCAGGTAACATCATTACTGTTGTTGCAACAGATTTTCAGAGTTCAGGAAAGAAAGTGATGATGCACTTTAAAAAAAAAAAAAACGCAATGCTGACATGTTTACCTTGTTTAAATGTCACTGTGGTTAATGGTTTCGCCTTCCAAATCGAAATTGACTTTTTATTTTTGTTGCCATTTTGGATTAATATTTTTGATTGTTGGATTAATATTTTTGGTTGTTTCAATAAAAGAAAGAGAAATTATTAGGCAAACTTAGCCATCTGCCTCATATTAAGCCTTTTTAAGATTTCTTGAAAATCTTTTAATATAAAATGCTTGTATCTGATTTCTTTGTTTTTAAGAAATGTTATTGAAATCAAACTCTGCTTCAACATCCTTCTGTTTTTCTTTTTAGCCTTTTTTGATAATTTGATTCTTTTTTATTTTGTGTCCTCAGGTTTGCTTGTAGCGTATTGTCACAGATTTGACATTCTCATGCAGACTTCTCGAATATACTTTCTGGCCTGCACTTTTGGTAAGCCACTGGCAACCCTTTAAATTCAGATATGTTTAATGTGGTAAGATATCTGACATTCTGTTGAGCAATATTTCCCATGCTTTAGTTGAGTTATTTGGTATCTTTTTAAGCATGTACAGTACATGGTGCTTATCATTGAAATATTGTGAATGTGATCTCTTTGTTTAGGCTACGGCATTGGTCTTCTCATCACATTTGTGGCTCTGGCTCTGATGCAGATGGGTCAGCCTGCCCTCTTATACCTGGTGCCTTGCACGCTTCTCACCAGTCTTGCGGTGGCACTGTGGCGCAAGGAGCTGCCTTTGTTCTGGACAGGAAGTGGATTTGTGGTGAATACCAGTTTGATATGAGTGCCTTCTTCGATTGGAAAAGTTCTAGGGTTATGTACAGTTACTAGAATTACAGTTGAGTAAAACCACCCGCGTGTTTTTTGTTCTGCTCTTATTTTGCTCTCATTTTTACTGTGGGTGTCTTCTTTTTATTAAAGGAGGGGTTCAGTGTCAACCTGTACCTTAAGATTAAAAAGTTCATTTCCAATATGTATAATATGTATAATTGTTCTTAAAGGGGTAGTTCACCCAAAAATGAAGATCTTGTCATCAATTACTCACTAAGACTTTCCCTCCGTAAAGTGCATTAGTTCCCACCCCCTCGGGAAGTATTTTTTCCCTGTCATTTCTCCCATAGGGATTTTAAAAAAGCTTATCATGAATCATAACTTTATAAACTTTGATTTGAAGCATATAGTGATAAAAAGATATATAGTGAAAAAAAGAACTAAATCCCATGAAGCTTTGCGAACAACATAATCGAATTAAAAATGGAGAAATATAAAACTTCTCATGTACAAATGCAGTATATATTTTATGTTTATTGCAAAATATGCATATATAGACCATTTCACAAGATGTAAACAACACTGGTCCAGAAGCACTTCCTGTTTCAGTTTTTTAACACTACATACAAGCTGGGATAAAATACAACCAACAGAACATTTAAAACTGAATCAAAAAGTTAAACAAACATCTTTAAGATGTTTTCTTTACATGTGAAATAAAGAAAACAGTTACAAACTGAAACAGGAAGTGTTTCTGGACCAGTGTTGTTTACGTCTTGTGAAATGGTCTATACACAAACATTTAAGTATTTTGAGAGCTTATAGAGGTTGGCTCGATTACATCATTTGCAGTGCTTCATGGGAGTGGCCGGAGTTAAAGAGCTATTTTGGCACGTTTCGCTTTTTTCGACTCACTGGCATCATGGGTAATGTAGTTTTTAATTATAAATTCAACTATTAAATATGATTATTTAAAAAATACATGGAAATAATGTGGGCTGGCCATAGATTAACATCCTCGTAGCTCACAGTAGGTCTGTATTTAAAAGTTTATTAGTAATAGTTAAAAATCTATTTCCCAATGGAAATGAATGGAATTCTACTTCCGGACCCTGACTGTTGCGCTCTATTGAAAGTCTCATCACCCTAAAAATGTGACGCTTCAAAACATTGAAAAAGAGATTGTAAAATAAATCCATATGAATTGAACGGTTTAATTCAAGTCTTCTGAAGAGACTCAATTACTTGATATGATGAATATATTTAATTTAGACATTGATCAGCGAACATTCACTCAAATATGGTAAATGGAAGCTCAACCTAACAAGAACAAACCTCATTGGTTCTCGTGTGTCAGGCAAGCATTATTGAGCCTCTGTTTACCTAATTTGATTTCTCTATGATTAATGTTTATATGTTAATAAAAGCCTAAATTGAATCTAATCCTCGTATAAATCTTTTTATGAATGTTTTGAAGCATCAGATTTTCGTAACCGATTCAATGGAACAGAAATCTCTCAGGTTTCATTTAAAGATGTCTTCATTTGTTTTCCCGAAGTCTCAACGGTTTGGAACGACATGACCGTTTTCATTTTTGGGGTGAACCGTCCTGTAATCACACAATCAGCCATTTACGTTCTTTGATTTCACAGGCATTTGTCTAAAGGTGTTTTTAAAAGTCTGTGGCATAGATCCCAGAGACCCTGAATGGAAACTCTTCTGTATACAAGATTTTACAGGGATTTTGAACGCTTCAGACAAATGCCTGTTTAACTGAATTTTATTAAGTCCAATTTTTCCCTTTTCTAAACCACAGTAACAGGAAGTGCTGTGCTACAGACTGATATACACAAGTTAAAACTACTCACTTGTCTCTATGGGTTGACTTGACAAACACTGGATCTCTCCTTTAGGTCTGGTAAGAGATCTGTGCGGCTCATGGGCTTACAGTATGTTTCATTTCCTCAGCTCTTTAGCTGCAGATTGGTTGGTCTTAAGTTGATCTATGGTGATTTTCTGTATGAAGTAGAAAAGAATCTGATCCTTGTCATGTCTTCTGAGTGTTTTCTCCTTCACAAAGTTATAAATCAGAAACCATTTTCTCATTCTCACTTGAAGCGAAGCGATTCTTACATTTTTCTTCTGCTCTAAGTATGCTCACCAAGGCTGCATTTATTTGATCAAAAACAGATTAAACCTTACAAAGTAAATTAATTTTATTTTAAGGCAAAAGTTTAATTTTCAGCATCATTACTCCAATCTTCAGTGTCACGTGATCCTTCAGAAATCATCCTAATTTGATGATTTGCTGATATTGAAAATTGTTGTGCTGCTTCATATATTTGTGGAAATCTTTGATTAATGGAGTTAATAATTTACGTGAAATTGAAATCTTTTAACATTATAAATGTCTTGATCACGTTTTGTGTCCTTGATGAATCTCAGTCATCTCTTTAAAACAACTCTTACTGAACTCATTTATGTAGTGTGCCTATATAAATGATTTATGTATCAAAATTAAATTAAATCTGTCTCTCTTATTTCTTCCTCAGCCTCCTCCAATTGTGATGGAACAAATCAACTGTACTCAAACCACAGGACTGTCCACAGACGAACCCCAGTCCAATCCGGAGCCGCCGGACTCTGAAACGACCAATCAGAGTGAGGACCCCCCTCCACCAGCCCAAGTAGAAGTACCGCATCTTACAGATGCATCTACTTAACAAAAACAAAAGACTGGAAGGATGCTAATTTCTTTTTCATTTTTTGAAGTCGGTTATATATCTGACTATGTAATAGACTTGAGTAGTATGAACATCTCAGTGCACTTGTTTTAAGCCTTTGAAGTTGTACAGTCTGTGTAAACCAAAAAACATGGAGACACAACACCTGCTGTGCTTCATCCAACTCGTTTCAAGTTTACGTTTGATGGTATTGGGAGGGGGTCGAAGGGACAGTTTTAATTGTCTTCACAAGGATTTCAACTCTGTGTTCGTTTTGTTCTCTCTCTTCTTTTTGTTTGTAAATAGACTGTAAAAACAGCCTTTCAGTAAATGAAACGAAGTGCAGCTAGACATTTTAAAAAAAATGTCCAGAAAATTAAAGACAGCTCATAAAAAAATTTGGCTTCCAGTTGATAATGCATTAGTGACGGGTTCTTGTCACAACAGCGCTGAAGTATCACATCCTTTGAAATACGGTGCTAGTAAGGCGTCGGGAATAATGATTTATTAGTTTCATTCTTTAGTTCTGAGATGCGAATGCTGTGGATTGAGATTGTTAATTGTTTATATTACGCTATGCTGTATAATTAAGAGCAGCGCTGTTATACACGGCCACATAATTTAACAAAAACTTCCATATTGGTTTGGAATGTGACTTCAACTTTAGTTGCATTGATATAGATCATAATCATATTCTCATGGCTTATTTAAAAGTATTGTATTTAGAAGTTTCCGTTTACTTGATGGAAGGGATGTTCGAGGTCTTTAAATAAAATGCTTTTTAAGTGCAGTTTTTAAGGATAATTTCCCGCCCATCTGTTGAGTGACAGTCCTGTTTTATAGTAGGAATTTTGTATTCATGGTACTTTTTTTTAAAAGTTGTTTTTCCAGTGTAAAGCACTGATGTTTTTGTGTATGATTTAACAATCTGAAGTTACGTCAAGTTTATTTAAGAAGTTTATGTTGCTCTGTTGTCTCATTGAAATCTTTTTGACTTGGGTACACCGTGATGATCATGTGGAATAACTTGGGACAATTGTTGAGTGCATATATTAAAGGAATAATGCATTATGTTATGAACTGTGTATTGTGGTGTTTTAATGTGAGAGCACTTGCAAAATACTATTCATGAGGTCTTGCCATTTTCTTCCCACATCAAAAAGTATTTGGTAAAGTGGTATTGTATAATTGTGTCTTATTCTCACCGGGTTCACTGGACTTGCTATGAATTCTAACTCCAGGCTAATGTTGATATCTATGACCAAGCTGGGGGGGAAAAAAGCATGAAACCGCTTTAAACTATTGTGCATGAAATGAGCTGCACTGTGCTGAAGGCCAAATTGCATCATGAACACACAAAAAACAAGGCACTTCATGTCAAAGGTTGTCGAGCCCTGGGCAAAATAGACTTAAAAAAAAATATATATATATCTAATATCTATTTAGACTAAAATGATGAGAAACCTCAGTCCTCAAACCTCTGTTTTTCTTTCATTCATGAAAGGTCATGGTGCTCTTTTCATAATATGCAGAATGACAATTTTCAGTATGAACCCAACACAATGCATATCCTATAATACTCTAATATTGTGGTTATTGGATGTTCTGCTAAAATGCTATTATTTTAACATATATGGGATCTAATGCTTTTTGTATACTTTCCCAAAAAAAAAAAAAAAAAAAATCCATCAAAACAATTTGAAAAGTTTTGTAGTACTCATTTTAGCAAATCTGAATTTCTTTGCCCTCTGTAACCAAAAAGAGTGCATTCTCATTTACATGTTTGGGCCTAATAGTGGAATAATACATTATTTTATTTTGGGCTGCATTAAATTAAGCCATGTCATGTTCAAGATGACAACGTGATGTTCTTAAGCCCCTGATTTATTGACAAAAGTTAAACAGTTATTAACAAATGTTATTAACACACAAACAAATTCATGGGATAACGTTAGTTCACTTTGAAATTAATTTTTGATATGTTTTAACGTTAGCTTACCTCAAGTCAAGGGCATCCAAGATGTAACGGTAGGTGTCTCTGTTCCCACAGCATTTTCAATTTCAAACCTTTCACTAAACATATTTAGATATACGGGAAATTACAATGGAAGACGATTTCGATATATATAAATATGTTTAGTAAAGGTAAAACTTCCGAAATCTCCGTGTAAACAATGCGTGACATAGACGCGCGAGGGATCACTTCCGGCGTAACTTTGGAGACGGTTCAGTTGAACATCTGATTCAGATCAGTTCGACGGCTGTTAAAGTCCCCGTGAACCGGAAGTTGCAAACGATTTTTCTCCAGTGCTGTGACGTATTTCCAAGTGAAACGAAATATTGAACAGAGGGCAGGGTTTTACTCTAGCGCTCCTCCTCTCCATCTCTCGCTCATAGCAAACTAACGGTTTGAGGGGAGTGGTTAAGCGTTTCCCCACCCAAGTTGTCAAACCTACGTCATCAGAAAAAGAAACCGTTCCAGACCGGAAGTAACTTTTCAGATTTTGATTAAAGATCACCAAGGTAACACATTTTTTAAATATATTTTTACTTGCACGGATTAATTGTTCACCACAAGACTAATATGCGCTAACAAAGTAAATAGGTTCAATTTTGATTTCACGGGGACTTTAACAAGAGGTAAAAACTATATAAATACTGTTCATTTTCTCACACAAACCGCTCGTTTCATGTCTTAGGCCATCAGTGTGTGTACTTACATTTACGAGTCATTAAATCATGTTTAATTTTGACTTCTCTGTGCATGCTCTTGCATTATATGACTGACAGACAACAACAGTTTCACCAAAAAATGTTAAAATTGAAAATGCTGTGGAAACAAAGACACCTACATCTTGGATGCCCTTGAGGTAAGCTAAAACATATCAAAAAATTATTTCAAAGTGAACTATCCCTTTAAACAGATTTTTTTATGTGATCAATTTATAGGGCACGAAATGAGTGAATTTAGCATCATTGACAGTGCCTAGTTTTTCATTTGAATAACAAACAATGCGAAGGAAAACCAAACATGCAGGTTTTATGTTTGTTCATTTTACTGAGCAAATTGCAAGCACTTAAAAGTGCAACAGTTTCTTATTGAAAGGACAAAAAAAGCTGACTTTGCTCTGCACTATTTACAAATGTATGGTTAATGAAGAAAGTCAGTATTTTCTCAAAATTAAATCAACAGAATTGTGCCATGATCTAGTTATGTACAGTTTAAATGAATGAGACAAAACTAAAAAAGAAATATAAGAACATATATCCCCGTCATAAAGAAAAACAAGGCTATTTTTTCTAAAACACTTCAAAATATTTGCTCAAATATAACATTATTTTCCAGTTTACAAGCAAAACAATGTAAAAGATTATTTGATCTGTGCAGAAAATGGACAGAAAATTTAAAAAAGGAAATTTACATTTTAAACCAAAACTTCCACACATTAAATAGATCTACTTTTTTTTTTTAAATGTCACAGCTAAGAAACTCTTGATTACATAAATCCTATAAAGAGTCCAGGAAGAACACGAAGACTTTTGCAGTGTAATGCTTTGGGGCCAAACATCCCTGAAATAAAAATCACAATAAATAACTAAAAACAGCTATGTACAGGAATGACAAATTGTTAAGACAAATACCACTCTGTAATGGAGAACTGAACAGGATACTGTGATTGTCAGGAAACAGACTGTTTAGGAAAAAGGGTTGATGTAAGAGTCATAAAACCAAATACTGCCAGGAATGATTCTTCCCAAATATTAAAGGTAAAAACAGAAATCATGATTAAGACTACAATTCAAAACTGTTTCATTTCTTTAAAAATATATTTGAGTCACTGCAGGTCACGTTAGAGAGGAAAACACCTCTTCATTCACGTTGTAGTCCCACAGATCACATTAAAAGAAATAAATGTCTTCTGCAACTGCATTGTCTTTGGGTTTACGTTGTCCTGGCTGGGTACTTTGTGTGCTATGAGTGGTGTTGTGCCTCCTGATGGCATTTCCTGAATGCGAGCGCACAGAGCTAGATGACTTCTCTGGTGGCATAAAGATATCTGCAGTAAAACCACAGAAATAGATTTACTAATGGCGCTTTTCCACTGCATGGTACGGTACGGCTCGCTTCGGCTTGCTTTAAATGGTACCTGGTCTGTTGAGGTTCCAAGCGTACCGTACTGGTACTAAATGTGAAGTGACACACTGCAGATCACTGATTGGTCAGACAAAATCGTCAGTACCAGCGTCATTGTATTTGCGACCAATAGACATCGACACGAGAAACCAAACCCGCTAGAGTTAAATAGGCAGTAACAGCCACCGCTGTTATCGATCAGTCTATAATCCCACACACTTTAAAGCGGTACTAACTGCAGTGGAAAAGCAACCGAGCTAAAGCGAACCGAGCCGTGCCGAACTGTGCCGCGCTGAACCGTACCAGCAGTGGAAACGTGCCATAATGCAGAAACACAACTATGATTGATTTAAATGACTCAAACAGTGCTGCATGTAAGCCATATGAAGATACACATAGTGCAAAGAAATGTTAGAATATGAGGTAAAAACAACCAAACAAAGGTCTGGAGTTAAACTATCCCATTAAAGAAAAAGAAAATGTAAACATTTTAACCACTGACAAATCCTAAGAAAGAAAGAAACGGTACGTGAGGTGAGACAGAATAAAGAATTTCACCTGGACGGAGTTGGTGAGGACTGTTGGATCTTGTGGATCTTAAACTGCCTCCTTCCTTTCCTGTAACTTTGATGGGAAGTAACTGAGACACCTCTATGCCAGCTAAAAGTGTGAAGATGTTAAAGTTCAAAATCAAAATGATTTAATACTAACTGATACCTCTACACCACAGCATCAGCTCACATTTTGATGTGATGGAGGTCTTACCTGCGCTGTTGGTACGCTGGTGGGAGTTCCTGTGCTTGCTGTGCTTCTCCTTTCCTTTAGGTTGAGCGGCCAGCTTAGTGGGGATCTTCTGTTGGACAGAGCCGGCTTTGTGGGATTGGTTGGTGGTACTAATGAGGTGGATGGGCACTTCTGCTTTAACAGGAGGGGCTGTGATGCTCTCCCTGCGTGGTGGAACCAGGGGAGGCCTCTCTTCAAAGCTGGGAGTAACCACGTTCAATATAGGGTAGGGGGGAGGAGGTAACTAGAGAGAAAAAGGAAACTTTATGCATGTACACAAATGGCACATACAGTATATTCAATATACAAATGCATACATTGTTTTATTTTACATGTGCACTAATGTGTAGTATGAAATATCAGTGGCATTTCTCAGATATAATATTGACCAAACCTGTATCTGTTCATTCTCTAGGGGAAAGATGGCGATTTTGGGTATGTTTTCGTTCTTCTCATACTTCTTAAACTTCTTCTCCAACTGCTCCAGCTTTTCTTTCTCCCTCTCCACATTACGTGTGGAGTCTCGAAGCCGCTCCAGGTCCTCCTGGTATTGCGCTCTGCCCCTGGCCAGTTCCTGGTTGTCTTCTGCCAGCTTTTCTTCCAGTTTGCTGCATTCCAGTTCTCTCTCCCTCAGCTCCTTCTCCCTGATCTCTGCCTGCTCCCTCTGCCAGAGTCTTTCCTGCTCCCACTGCTGCTGCTCCAGTCGGTGCTGATTCTGGAGCCGCTGGAAGTTGACCATCTCCTCACGCTGCTTTTCCAGGTTCCGATGCTTTTCCTTCTCCAGGAGTGAGTTGCCCCTGGGTCTGGACATCAGCTCCTCAATAGTGGCACGTTGCACCTCGATGTGGCTCTCTTGCTGCTGGACGATGGACTGAGGAAGGAAGGGAACAGATAAGGAAATCAAAGATTCATGTGTACTGATCTGGATTCTACACAGATGAATCTTCTATTTAAAACTATCATAGGCAACAGGTAATGAATAATTGGATAATTATGAGAGAAGCACTACATGAAAAGCACATTTAGAGTTTGGATTACCTGAAGGCTGTAAAGTTTCTGAGACAATTTAGTTACAATGTCATAAAGCTGTGGAGAAAAAAAAAAAAATATGATGAATAAAAGTAACATGTTTAAAGTGAGTTGACTATACAAAAGACA